ACGAAACAAAAAACCAACGCGACACGAAATTAAATGGAAAAGAGAGGGAACAGACATTTACGTGAATTCCAGTTAAAATTTAAAGCTGTTAACTGCATTTTGGTGTCAACATTATGGCTAAATGAATTGGGTTTTATGGTCACCATCGAAAGCCAATCAATTGTTGGAGCTGAATGAGTCAACCAATGATGGGAAGAAGGTGATGGAAACGAACAATTAAATCGCTGTGGAAAAGTTGTATAATGTTGATAACGATTTTTCCCCTACGAGATGATACAGCTTATATATTTTCTATTTTATTCAATACCATGCTAATTATGTCCCAAAGCAATGCCCAAACACTGACAACGAATTTCAATTTCAAAAATTTTCTGCCCGAAATATTACGATTATTTTGCCAAAAACTTTATCTTTCAGAGGTGTGTGACCATCTAAAAGGAAAGAAGTTAAGAACAGAATTGTCTGGAAGATGTGTGCCCACGACCACAAATTCAAGTTAGCAAATCGAGCGCTAAAACGTCGAGTCTGAAAAGCTCCTTCTCTTCGCCGCCTTCTTTGCGTGCTTTCTCTTTACTACCATTCGATGCTTATCGTTCGCCTCGCAACACCCCAGACAATGTCGCCTTATCAGGAAAGGCTCGAGGCCGAACAGAGCTCGAGTCCGAGTCCAAGTCCGAGTCAGGCATTGTGCCTTGACAACACCCCTGCAAATACCGTCGGCCTAAATCGGCCCTCTCCAGTCAGTGTTCAATGCTCATATCGAAATAATCAATAATGTGCAATGCTACAGCTCATAAAATCGCAGCGAACTGGAGACGAATATGTAGCCAGAGTGCAGGAAAAAAACTGCGAAAAAATATTAAATATTTTACGCTGACTGAGGGCTGGAGTCCAAGTCGGATCGGATCTCTTTGCCTTGATCAGGTGCCGCCAAGGTAGATCCCAACCGAACACTTAGCAAAGCAAAGCTCAGACAAGAGATGCTGATGCTGCTGATGGTGCTCAGCACCATCTGCCTTCTGCCCCAGACCCCTGCTCGAGGACCAGGACGAAGACGAAGACGATCCTGATGCGTCCGGCGCGATAAGCAGCCGATGCAAAACCATTAATTAGGAGCAGCAGATATTCGTATCTGTGGAAGTTCTCTCGGTTGTCCAGTTTCTTGGGTCGAAATTAAGGCTTTAATCGTGCATGAAAATACGTGAAACTTACGTGTCTGCAAGAGGACTCCTTCACCGCTCTCCAAACCATTCGCAGATGCAACGTGATCGCGATAAGATAAACGCATACAAATTTGCTTTTATGCAAGGCAGCCAAAGTCTGAGGCTGCGTCAGAGTCAAGTCGGAGTCCCCAAAACTGATTCAGGAACATCGACAAGGGGAACTAAAAAATGATTATTATTTATGCAGGGTATCAAATATTCCCTCAACGCGTGCGTCAACAGTCCAGTGTCTGTCATTTATTTCAATGAAAACCATCAACGATACTCATACGAGAGTTGCCCGGGCGAGACCATGGCCATGCCCATTCTGGTGGGCTCATTAATCGGCCAGTAATATGTCAATGTCGTCTCCCCCTTCGTATATATGTATACTTGCTACTCCAATGCTCATATTGGATATGGTGATGATTGTAAACTAAGCCCATTTGCCATTTCACAGTTGCATCTGTGGTCTGCAGCGCAGACACTACCGACAGTAACTGCAAAAATATATAGAAAATAGATTCCTTAGCCGATAGCTGGATGCTCTATCAGGCGGGCTCGAAGAAAATTTAGAGAGATATTCGAATGGATTAGATGGTTAAGAGAGAATGCCAGTATTGCCCCTACCTACGCCAAATACTAGATATTCTAGAATAGATTAAAACTGGAGTGATGCGAATGATCGCCATGAGATTTAATAAATACAATATGTATTCCCATTTCAGTCTCACCAGCCATAACAAACCGTAAGTACTCGGGAATCCAAAATACTCTTTCATAGGGTTGATCCTACCTGGTGAGTATCTGTTTGCATCTGCTTTGAAGCGCGAAAATTGCAAACCAATGTTGCTTTGACAATGTGCAATAATTTGTAGTCAATTTTATGTGTCTACGGTTGCTTCATTTCTTTCGGATCGGATCGGATCGGTTCTGCTCTCTGTATGGTTCGCTTCGAGTTTCCTTGTTTCGGCAATCTACCCCTCTCTGCATCACCCCTAGTGTGCCACTGCCCACGGGGTAGACGGCGGGCAATTTATGGCTGGTAAATTAGCAAGAAATGGAAATTGAGAAAAATGTTGCTTTTATTGCAAACAGTTGTAGTCGTCTTCCAATAAAAGCATATTTATTTATACACAGCCAGAGCGGGACCAGGCCGAACTATTGGATGCCATCATGCTCTGTGACTCTTATGACTCTCGATTCGTTTGGAGTCTAATGAGGCAATTGGTGGATGCAATGATGAGGGGCTGCCTAATTGACGGCCTGCCAAGATGCACTTGCAAAATATACAATATTTGTGTGCCGAATGTGCTGAATGTGCCGTTGCTGTAGCTGATTTATAATTCTTCGATTGATTTTTATTTTGGCAAGGTATCACCCACCTCCTTTCGAGTATCCCTTTGGTGGAAGGTAAAAAGAGCAGACTGATGGTTTGGGCATTAGCACCAAGCTCTAGATGGGGCAAAGTACTTTGATTTGACTTTGAGCCCAGGAGCTAAGACACACTGCAAAACAGGGCGGATAAAAAAGTTCTAGGCTGCAGGCGGAGAACATTTGATGTAGGTTTTGGTCACGGAGCAAACATGGGACTCAAATGAGCAGGCAGGAGCGGTTCAGTTCTTAAAACGGTTCGTATAAACAAGACATATTTTTTCCAAAGAAGTTGACCATTGTATTTGTTGTATTTATATGTATTTATTGTGTGGGCAATTGTTGAATTTTACTACCTGAATTTAATACCTAAAATAATTAGTTAAATATGTAAACATTAATAAATCATAAATAAATTTAACAAATTTTTAATTAAATCATAAATACCTTACCCAAATCCGGCTCCGGACCCCTGCCTAGACCCTATACCTATATAAGCCAAAGTTCTGGCAGATTTCAGTCCCTGGAAGGGCAATCTATAAATAAAACGCCTTTTTCGCCACTAAACTGACTTGTAACCCGAAATATTTACGCCGCCTCCTTTTGTTTTACGTACACATGCGTTTGCCAATGATAGACAGCAACGTTGCCCTCCCAAAAAAAGGCTTACCCCACCCTGCAAAAGAAGGCCTATAAACTTTCCTTAACCGCACTGAAACAGAAACAAAAAAAAACACAAAAACAGGAACTCTTATTCGGGAGCCGATGTTTTAGATACTCCTTTTAATCAGCCGTTCCTATGGCATATATGTACATACATATACTCGTATCCTTAATTCCGCTGAGCTATGAGTTTTCTTCAAAAGCAAACAGAACATGTTACACCAAGACTTCCTGTGGCAGGTATCGATTTCTATACTTTATGCATACACTTAAGGATCGGAATGCTTCTTTTTTGAGTTGCAGAGCCATGGCAAAAAACATAATGCCCTCTGTAAGTGTATACAAATTCAATTGAAAGTTTGCCTCGTGGATTGCCAAAGTCTGCCCTGGCTCTCACCTCCTTCCTACCACTTTAACTCTTCCCTTACTTTATAACAAATCCCACAGGCAAAATTGATAAAATAAAAAAACGGGAAAGAAAAAAAGGATAGAAGGCCAAGAGTAGGGCCAGTGGGTACCAAGAGAAAGTAAAAGCTACGAAAAGTTTTTAATATTTGACGTGTTTCTTTCTTTTTGCGCATCAGTCTTCCCTCCCCGTAAAGAATCGAAAGAAAAGAAAATATTGAAAAAGGTTTAGCCTGAGCTTGAACTTCTCCTCTGGTTAGGCTGTCCACAAGATACAGTACTCCGTCTCTCTCTCCCAGGTCGTTGCACATCAAAGGCAGTTGGCTAGCTCGTTGGCTCGCTAATGATTGATTGTAAAATTTGCTAATTTAAGCAATGTGAATTTATGTTTTGGTGGGGCCCCCATCAATTTTATTGCGCATTTAATTGATCATAAAAATTATTCATTCATTTCGAGCTGAAGTGTTTTTCAGGCGACCAGCGGAATCAGCGAAATAGTATGTATACTGCTGTGGGCTCGCATTCACCAGAATAACAACAACAGCACAAATACTCGTAAACGATACCAAAAGAGATACGATGGCTATATCTATAAAATATGCATGAGAATATATTGTCGCATCTTAGGCTGGCAAAATATGAAGTCGTTGGACGCAGAGGTAGAGGGTTTATTTGTGCTTAAAATTAATTCAAATGGAGCAATCGTGGGATGGTTTTCCTTTGCTCTGCGTGTGGCGAGGGTAGGCTGAACACTTTTTGGGCTCATTGAAAAACGTTTCTTGGGGTCTGCAACAGTCCCATCCCATCCCATCCCACATTTAATTATATACCCCATCGCCAATAGAGCCTACTCTGTGCATATTACACCATTTTAAAATGAACAAAGTCGTCCACTTCTCAAAAAATAAAGTAAGTAAAACATAGCAATCTCCGATTCTCGTTACCCGTTACCTCATCAAGCAACAGCACACAACAGTTTTCCTTTTCTATCCGCGTTTCTTCAGCTTTCCACCCGTTAGGCAATGGAGAATGCTCTGCGTCTTATCTTGCAAATTTGTTCGCCGTCCGTAATAGAACACCACCCGTCTGACATAAGCAAAACAAGAGCCCGAGCAGACGCCAATCTCTCACTTGGGTCCGCAATTGCTGGCATTGGAATCCGCTCCGAAACTGTATTAAATGTCAAGGCAAGATAGTTTGTGGCTTATCAGCAGTAGACGAAAAAATAACAAATATTCTGCAAGCAATGAGCAGTACGGAAGATGAGAAGAGTGAATAAAAAGAATCGAATTAATTATGATTTTTTTGTTCGTTTTTCGTTTATATATTTGTTTCAGTTTTGATTTTCCAATTTAAATTTTAGCTATAAACTAGAAAACATAAAATTACTAAATAAAATACATACATTTGTCTGTTTCTGGATAGTTAAAGTATTAACAACAATAGGCGAGTAAATCGAACTTAAAATTTATGCATATTTATATATGGTACACATGTAATCAGTCGATTTATGTTTGTGCGTTTCGTGTTGCATATTTAATTTTTTTTTGTTCATACAGTCCGTTTTTCTTGTTATTTTGTATATATGTACAATAGTTTCTCAATTTAATAGAATTAATATGGCTGTATTTTTTTTAGGCGGGGTGGATATGGATTCGGATTAAGATTCGTGTTCGTATTTGTTTTCGGTTATCAACTTATGGTCTAGACTATCTAATGAGGATAAGTTTCCTTTAAATATACATACATACATATACATATATGTAGATTGGTAGGAAAATGGTATTCGCATTATATAAATTAGAGCTTAGGACTAAAACAAAATATCACAATGATTAAACAACTTATCTATGTATTTATGTACAATTTTAGATTTTAAACTCTAAACCAAATGTGAATCCTTCTAGAGAGAGTGTTGTTGCTGTGTTCACTAGTTTTCTGTTCTGTTTTCTGGTTTATGGAATGCAGTTTTCAATTGGAGTGGAATCAGAGATAGTTGAAGGTGGATATAGGGAGAGTGAACAGGAAACAGGCGTAACAAACAACGGCAAACAAGGTAGATTTTAATCGCTTCCATTCGGCTCTGTAGTGTTTTCTTTGCTTGGTTCTGCTTGCCTCCTTCGTGCCTATCTCTGATGTTGGCTTCAGCACAACTTCGGGGGCCAAGACAGCACACGTGCTGATCTCTTTCCACCCACTCTGGTTTTTTCTTTCTGGGAAACAGATTGGAGGACAACTTCTTCCAGCAAGGTCGCAAATTGGCGTTTTCCTCCGGCAAATTCTAACTTGGATCCAACTTTGTGACTACGGGTACGTTAGAGTGCGCACAGCTTCTTCTTTAAAATCTTTGACTAGCATGGAGAAAAAACTGTTCTTTGATTTCTAATCAAATCTAGACATTGCGTGACCTGAAGAGCTTTTAAGGAGAGATGGAGTGGGAGAGTGCTCTGTTCCAAGGGAATACGCTTCTCCACACATGTTTCTGATTCTTATCGCTCAACAATTGTGTATCTTTATCTGTATCCCACGTACTGAAATTTGTAGTATTTCTCCTCTCTCTCGCTCTCGCTCTCTCTCTCTCTCACTGTCCCTGCCATTGATTAGCACATGTAATTGTAGCCCAAAAAGAAACCCAATTTCAACTCAGCTGCCGGGGCACCTACGAGAAGAATAACAACTGTTTCTAGACGGTCTTGGCCTGGTCTGTGTGTCCGTGTCCGTGTCCTCGTCTGATGTCTGATGTCTGAGAGAACTGGCTGCCCTGGCTGCCCTGGCTGCCCTGGCCCTGCTTTTGTTACAATTTCTTTTGGCCAGACATGAATTCTCTGATGTTTTGCGTTGCCTATTTTCTCCACTACACACTCTGAGACGGACAGGTACAGACCCTCGTACCACTCCAACTACACATACATAGATAGTTTCTACACACGTTGAGCTTGTTATGGCAAAATGCAGCAGTTAAGATGAACTAAGCAGCGAGCGTTGCAAACAGAGAAAAAATGAAGGAGACGAAACAAAATGCAGGAGAAGGCTAAGGGAAAAACAGAAACGGAGAGAAATACTTTTGGGTATTGGCTATGTGGCTGTGTAGCTGTGTGGCTGCTTTTGTTGCTGCTGACTGACTGGTTGTTGTGGTTCTAGTTTTTGCTGGTGTGCTGCATGCAACATCAATTTTCTGAATCTAGCTACGAGCCAGGAAACTGAAAATAGCTGGCCGTAAGAAAACAGAACAGAACCGAGCAGGGCCAGAGAACAACAATTGGCTTGGGGACGGACTGCCTCAGAGACGCTTGGTATTTTACTGTTGTCTTTTGTTGTTATAGCTGTTGCATGTTGCTGTTGTTGTTGCTGTTGCTGTTGCTGTTGCACTGCTCTTGCTCTCTCCGCACTCAATTTTCTCTTACTTTTCTATTCCAGCTGGTAACTGGGCTGTTATCGCTAAACGCTGGCATTTGCATATTGAATGCAATTCCCATTTCATTTCAGACCTGTGTAACTCCAGTCCAGGAAATTTTAACCAGTTTTAATTCTACTACTTCTACAATCACTTTTTTAACTCAAAGGAGTATCTATCAGTATCTCTCATGATTTCTGTGGCTCTAAGGGGGATAAGGGGATTCTTCATCCGATGAGTACGTACAACATTCTCTCTATAACTCTCGCTTCATCTCCCGTTATTTTTGAGTTTTTCTCCGTTCACCTCTAAGTTTCTGTACACTCGTACATCATCTCATTCTATCTGTCGCCCACTCACATGTGCAGATTGCGCGAAGCCGGCGTGGGCTGCGTTGGTGGCAGCGGTAGACTCTGCTGCTGGATACCACCCGCCAGGGGGATCATCTGCGGAGGGCCAGGGGCAGGTCCACCCACCTGCACTCCACCCATCAGCAAGGCTGCCTGCTGCTGTTGCTGCTGCTGTTGCTGCTGCTGCTGATGGATCGAGGGCTGGCGACGAAAGCTGCCGGGCTGCTGGGGGGGAGGCGGAAGCATAAACTGCTGCTGCTGCTGCTGATGATGATGGCCGGAATGGGGCATAGGCAGCGGAAGGGCCTGCTGGTGCACATGGTGGTGATGATGGTAGGAAGCATGGTTGATGGGCACGTGGCAGGACTGGCCGGCGACGGAGCGCTGCGGCGCATTGGAAGAGACGTCTGGCAGTGCGAAGCGCAGCTTCTGCCAGAAGAGCTTGTCGCCCCACTGCAGATAGGTGTTAGTCTTCAGATACAGACGCAGATCGGGGTCGAGCTCCTTTTGGGGCACCTCCCCAAGTACAATGACAATCAGGCGACGGCGGCGATCTCTCAGAACCGACTGATGGGCGGACTTGAACTCGAAGCGACACCACTCTGACTTGATGAAGTTCTCACTGACAACCATGATGGTGCGCCGGCTGCTGTCGATGGCCTGAACGATGGTTTCGGGCAAGTAGCCGCCCACAGGGAAGTCCCGCTGGTGCAAACAAAGTTTGTAGCGGTGCTCACCCATTTCCAGCATCGGGGCCAGCTCCTCGTTGACGAACAGCTCGTCCTTGGAGGAGTACGAAATGAAGGCGTCGAAAAGCTTCTCGCGCTCGTTTTTGTCCACATCTTTCTGGCCGTTGTAGAAGAGCCGCACCCCGAACCGTGAGTGGCACCAGACGCGCATTTCCTGGCGGAAGATGAACACCAGCAGGGTGCAGATCATGATGAAGATGAAGGCCGTGAGAATGGCCACCAGAATAGGGATGTAGTCCTGCTTAGGCGGCTGATTAAGTATCATCTTCGTGGACGTCATGTTGCCGGACAGGGCTCCACCCTCACCGCCCGCCTGCTCCGCAAAGTTGTAGCTGTTGTCCAGTCCCAGGGGCAGGGTCTGGCTGCACTGAACGACGGGCAGGGCGGAATCCGTGCTGGCATAAATGGCCATCTGCTGTGAGCTGTTCCCGCCTGACTCGCAGCGCAGCCTCGGACGGTCCGCAACGTAGTCGTGCCGGCTTATGTAATCCCGCAGCTTATCGATGAACTCGCAATTGCAGCTCCAGTGATTACCGGCCAGGTGCAGCTCGTTGAGGTAGCTGGGCAGGAAATTCCACACGGCGAAAGAGCCGATGGCATTGTGGTCCAGCCTCAGGATCTTCAGGTGGTACAGATGCGTGAATGTGAGCGTGTCTATGGTGGCTATCGCGTTGTGCTGCAAATAGAGCTCCTGAAGGTTGTCCAGGCCCTGAAACTCGTTGCCATTGAGCACCTTGAGCTGGTTGCTCTGAAGCTGCAGCACCTCCAGCTCCAGGAGCCCGTAAAATGTGCGATTGTGAAGGATCTCGATCCGCGAATGGTTAAGATGGAGAACCTTTAGGCGCTTGCGGCCGATGAAGGCGTGGCTCTGCAGCTCCTTGAAGTTGTTCCCGTCCAGGTAAAGCTGCGTGGCGTCCATCGGAATGTGCGAGGGCAGCGCGTGCTCGTAGGAGGCTCGACTGCAGTCGACCACGTTCGATGTCCACGACTGGTCGTGGTAGCAGGAGCAGCGGTCGGGACACTCCATCTTGCAGTCGCAAGCCTGGAAATCGCAGCAGTGGCACAGGGCGAAGCAGTGCGACTCGTATTTGCATAGGAAGTCGTTCGACTTGGCCTCAATGAGGGAGACATGGGTGGCGCCGCGCGCATAGGACAACTTGCAGTAGATCTGGTCGAGGTCCATGAGCTGTGGCTGGGTGCGTGACTCGCGATTGATCTTCTGCAGCCAATCCAGATTGCAATCGCACTCATACGCATTGTGCCCGATGTAGAACTCGGGTATCTCGCGGTCCTCGGCGATCGGCGAAAGGCGCAGTGCATTCGGCTCCAGGGTCGTAAGCTTGTTGCGAACGAGATCGACACGGGTAAGATTGGGCTTCTTGAAGAACGTGTAGGGCTGGATCTTGCCGATCTGATTGTCGTTCAGATATAGCACTTCCACGCTGTTGGGGATCGAGCTGGCCGTGATCTCCGTCAGCAGATTGTAGCTGGCGTCGAAGGTGCTTAGGCTCAGCTCGCTCTCGATCTCAAAGTAGTTCCCCAGCTGTGTGATCCTATTGGCCCGCACGTCCAACCACTGCAGTCCGATGGGTATGTGCGAGTAGTCGAACTTTTCCAGCCGATTCCCCGAGATGTTCAGCCAGACCAGGTTCGGGAGCTCGGTGAAGAGGCCTGCAATGGACTTGAGCTGGTTGCCGTCCAGGCGTATAGCCTGTAGCTGGGTGTTCCTCTGCAGCGATCCCGCCTCAATAGTCTTTAGCTTGTTGCCAGACAGATTTAGAATTTGCAGAGAGCTCATCCGGTCGAAGACCCCGCGTCGGATGTGCGTCAGAGAGTTCTCCGTCATGCGCAGGCCGTAGAGATTCTCCAACTGGGTGATGCTCGTGTTCTCAATCTGACTGATAATGTTCTCACCCACGTCCAGGGTCTTAAGCAGGGGCACATGCAACAGGGCCTCCGGCACCGCCTGCAGCTTGTTGTCATTTAGGTGCAGGTCCTGGAGCTGGCTGCAGTTGATCAACGATCGCTGGTCCAGCCGGTTAATGCGGTTGTAGTCCAGGGAGAGCACCAGCAGGTTGTTCAGGCCCTGCAGAGTGCGCTGCTCGACGACCGAGATGCGGTTGTTGGACAGGATAAGTGTGTGCAGGTTGGTGAGGTCCGCGAAGATGCCCGCCGGCAGCTGGTCGATATAGTTCTCCTCAAGCTTTAGGATTTGCAGGCTGGCCAACGGCCGGAAGATGTGCGACTCCAGGCGGCTGATCTTGTTGGCTGACAGGTCCAGCGTCATGAGCCGCTTCAATCCCACGAATGTGGCCGCGTTGATCCACTGCGAGTTTAGCTCGTTACTGGCCAAATCGAGGAGAAGCAGCTCCGCCAGCTCCCCAAAGATCCCGGGCGCCAACACATTGATCGAATTATTCCTCAGGTGAATCTCCTGTAGCTGCTTGGTCTCCGAGAAGAGCTCGGGGGGCAGCGAAGTCAGTCGATTCGCGGACAAATCCACAACACGCAGCGAGACAAGACCCTCAAAGGCACGATCAGCCAGAAAGCTCATGCTGTTGCGTGCCATGTTCAAGTGGGTCAGCCGACCCAGGGCCGACAACATGGCCGACGGCAGACTGACCATCTTGTTGGCGCTCAGGTCCAGGCTTTGCAGCGTCGAGCCGCACACCCGCGCCTTCCGAGAGCTCAGCGAGGCGCTGAAGTAGAAGTTGCTGATGTCTTGGATTTTGTTGTAGGAGGCGTTGAGGTGCTGCAACGACTTCAGCGGGCACACCATGCCGTCGGGTATCAGCCAGATGTTGTTCAGACTCAGGTCCAGCCTCTCCAGCTGTCTAAAGTCCACGAAGCTGTTGGAGGCCATCTCCAGGGACATGGTGGACCAGTCCCCATTGTGCGTACGGATGGTGAGATTACGTAGCTCGTGCAGACCCCGGAAGGAGCCGTCGGTCAGGTTGCCCAGCTTGCAGTACTCAATGGTGAGATCCCTAAGCTCCACCAGCGACCGAAAGCTGTCCGGACTGAGGGTGCTCTGGAAGAACAGCGCATCGTTGCACTCCAGTCTCAAACGCACCGTATTGTGGGGCTGGATCACGCTGAAGTTGGTGTTCTCCAGCTCCGAGTTGATCGTCCGGAGGTGGCAGACCAGGGTGATGTCGTGCTCTCCGCCGCCGGACCAGCGGCACTCGTCCGGGGCCTGGTACAAAACCGTCTTGCTCAGCGCCGCCCCAAAGATGGGCATCACGCAGCTGGCGATGAGGACGTAGAGCATGTGGCTGGTGGCCAGCATTGTGTGTGGATGTGGATGGATGGTAGTGGGTCCCTTGGATAGTGACTCAACCTGGGATGTTGATTATCTGGTTATGTGGGGGGATTTTGGTGTTTTGGTCTTTGTGTTCCCGATTATTTGTGGCCCATTTTGTATGTGATTTTTATGGTTGCCTTTTCTCAATTTTTTTTTTTTATACAGATCTTTGCACAATCGCCTCCGAGGGCAGAGCACAGCACTCACATTAACACATCAGAAATTTCCTCGGCGATTTATCTAATATAATTTTCTTATGTTTCTCGCCTTTTTTCTATTTTCATTCGATTTCTTTCTATTTTTCGTTGTTGCTCTCGCGTTGACCGTAATCCAAGTGGGGGGCGATAGCGCGTCTAGGTTTGATAAATTTCATTCGAACAACTTTCAAGCACTCGATTCTGCTTCATGCCGCGACTGCTTTCTTCTTTCGATCTCTTCTACTCCGACAACGCGCGTCCGCTCGGCTCGAAGTCAAATGTTCAATTGATCGCTCTCGAAGCGGCCAACAAGCACGTCCACACGGCAGAGAGAGAGTAGTCAGCAAACCAAAAGACGGCGAGGAGAGCGTTTCTCGCCGTGAGCGCAGTCTCTCAACTGCTGAATATGAAAAGTAGCTCAATTCAGCCGGGAGAAACTCGTTTAACCGGTGTGACGAGTGTCAATGTATCTTTGGAATTGTTTGCCTGCTTCGACGCTCAACGCTCACACTGAGCTGCACAGTGTGTCACAGACATTGGCAAGGTTGCAACTAGCAAGTGAAAGAATCTTTGTACATATGTCAAGGTTACGGTATGGCATATAACGAGGAAAATCTAATTAGCAATGGGTTCCTTTATTAATATATGTATGTATATACATACACACACTGTATGGATGTTTTTAATTAATAGCGGACTTAATACATTGTATTCAATTATTTCCGATGGAACTCTTAAAACATTTATTTTCTCTAGATAATTTTAGCACTTACATACATTACATATTATGTATTTATCGCCTTACCTGCTATTCCGGGACAAACACTAACTAAAATTATGCTCTAACATTACTAAACGTACCTTTCAGAATTCTTCCTCATCCTTGTTTTATTTTCTTTGTTGCAAAATAAGATCTACTTGATGTGCGCCTACATACATATGTGAGATTATTCTGGTGCGCAATCTATAAACTATGTTCACCTGCCAATCTATCCGTCTCACTTCCTCTTTCCGCCCCTTTCCATCTGTCCATCTGTTCTGTATTCAAAACCCTACCTTCCCAAACACAGTAAGACACCTTGCCACACCGCACTCCATTCGATGGCATTCATCCCACTGTGCCATTATGCGTTGCGTTTGCATTGCATAGTTTTGTTTGTTTACCCGCTCCCCGCTGCTGCCGTTGCACCCATCGCTCGCTCTAGTTCTTGCCTCGCATCGATTCTCTCGATTCTCCGCTGTTGTTTGTTGTTGTGTGCTCATTGAGTGCTTGCTCACTAAGAGAGTAGCAAGGAGAGCGAATGAGTTTGCTGAATTGCGCGATCGGCTTTACTTTACTCGCATCGAAACCCCAGAAAAAATGCAATAATCATAAAAAATTATTGAAATCAATTGTTAATTCAGCCAATGTCAGTTTGATATAAGCGATCAACCACACACACGCACATATTTGCAGACAACAAAAAATTACTGATTTTTCTTGATTTATGAGAGCAAAAGCTGCCGCAACAGTTGGTTTTTTTTTATTCTCTTATACCCCGTACCCGTATACTGCAAAGGGTATATAAAGTTAACGTAGAATTATGCAAATCGTAGGAGGAACCATTGGCCATATATTCTTGATCAACAAACAACATATAGATTCTAGATCCTAGATCATAAAGATTTAATATATGTGTGTACATATACGCTTATTTAGATATACGGATATTATTAACCGATCAAATGAAATCAGAATGATTAAAACAAATTTCGGGGCAATATTTAATCAACGAGTAGAGAGTATTTACGAAGGTTAATGCCTAGAGGGTAACTGATAGTTCGGACGCGTTCTTATTATTATTTTTTTTTTTTGCTTGCCTTGGGACCGGCTATCGAGATCGAAGGGAGATCTGGGATTTGAGTCTTACTCATTATTCTTTGGTTAGGAACGGCCTGAGCTCCAGATGGAGTTCCAGTTGGGTCTGTCTGTGCTTGAATCAGATATTTTTGCATGATCGGCCCATATGCTGTAACCGCAATTTCAAACTTTCCCAAAATGTTTGGAACCCGGGCGATTAAAGCAAAGAAGAGCAGACCTCTGTGCTGTTTTGTACCTGTTGACGACGCCCGTTGAGTCGTTGGGACAGGTGCTGATTAACCAAACACATCCCAGGCGATGCGTATCAGTCAGCCAGTTAGCCCAGCAGCTTCTTTAGACGGGATAGTACGGGATGGATCTGGCTGTTCTCAAGAAACCCGCACCCAGCCTCCGTATGAGCAAACTACAGGTAGCCTACAAATTGTGTTGAAAATTGACCGTGCAAACATCTTGGTCTTGCCAGGGGTCGCCTGTCCTGCCCCTACTCCTCTCCAGCTGCTCAAGTAAACAGATTGGTGTTGGTGCTGCTGTTGTTGTTGTAGAGATACCTTTCGGCTAGGATTTTGTTACAATCCTCGCTCAATTGTTTGTTCCTGCCTTTGCCTTGTACCTTTCTTTCGTCTTTCGTCTTTCTTCTTTATGAAGTTCTTTATCGCTGGATCGATCGATCAGGCCAGTTGGTGTAAGCCAGGAAGTGCCTGGTAGAGCCTGAATAGGCTTACGCTTGCACATTCTATCGGGGGATAGGAGGGCCTTCGAATCAGTAACCGTATACGAGAGGCGGTCCTCTCAGCATTGATTTGATTTGATTAGATTAGTCGGGTCGTGTTTAGTTGCGGGAAGTTGAGGCAACATTTCCCTACGATGACTGATCGCTCTCGATTCTCTTTCATTTTGCGCAAATTATATTTCTTTGTAATTGTTTCGTTTGTCTTGTAGTTTCCCCAGTCTGTATCTGTATGTATGTATATTGTGGGTGCTGTGCACATTGCTCATTGGGTCACAGTCGCATGACTCATGGGCCATGATTCTTTTGTAGATACCCGTACGATATTTTTGCCAGCTGCCACTGCTTGCAAAATTTCGTTTGTTGTCTTGTAATTGGAATTGCTTTTTTTCATTTGTCCAAAGACAATGACCCCGGCGAATAGTGGATTGGAAAAAAGAAACTCTTGAGGGCTGGTAAAGGAAATAGATCCCTATTAGAAGATTGAATTCATCCCTTACCATCTCTTGGGAAGATCTCTGGAGGACCTACTTCCCTTTCGATGTCATCTATTGGGGCACAGGTGCCCGCCGTTGCATAACCTAGCCAAACATTAGCTAATCCTACGAACAGTTCCGTTCCAATAATAATATAAAAGTGATCAGCATGAATAGGCGAGTCGATAAAGCGATGTCCGCCTATCTGTATCTATCTATACATATTTACATATTTTCCTAACTAATTCTATGTACATAATTATGTGGATATGTATACATATACATACATATGTACACATGTACATACATAAATGTATGCGGAAAACTTCATCAGGATGTTAAAATCAGCAGAATCTCTATATAAGTAGTACCTACCTGTATTAACTATAATTAACATGCTCCTCTCTCCAACTTTCCTTACACCCCTATAGAAATACCTTCCTTACACCTACGGCCGCTGAACCGCTCGGTTTCTTGCAATTACGATTCTAATCGTACATTCCCTAGCGATGACATGTCATGGAAATGGAATCCATCAAGTGTCAAAAGAATGAACCGAGCACCGCTGACAAATCAACTCTGCCACATCTCGCTTGGTCCGGCGTTGAATAAGTTGCCATTGTTCTTAATTATAGCGCGTTGTCATGTGAGCTTGCCATTCATTCATTCCCTCATTCATTTCACTTCATTCCATTCCATCGAGACGTCCATCTAAGGAGTCATCGGCAGTGTCGTCGGCTCAGCTGTGCTGTTCTTTATGGCTTGACGCCTAATAAAAATTAATTTAATAATCTCCCAGAGGTTGTTTGTGAGTGAGTGTGGGTGTTGTGCGACGTTAACGCTTATGTAAACAGAGGAGCCGCGGCCGAGGATGTCGTGGATATCGCATCGTATCTACTGTGCAAAACATATTAATTAGCATTTCCAATTTCGTATGCATATCTCTCGTAACTATCTCGTGATGCAACGCTGCACACACAAACGAAGCTCGGCAACGCTGCCGCTCGCCACCGCTCTCTCCCGCTCTCTTACACTCTTCCCACTCACCCAGGAAGATTCGCGTCGGTCAGCAGAATATTGGCTTCTCTCATTCCTCCCTTTCTTCTGACTTGCTGTCTCTTTTCTGCAGGCACTAAAGAACTTTGGCATTGCGTCTGGGCGACTTAACGAGAGCGTAAAAGCGAAAACATCAAAATAAATAGCTCAAAAAATTAACAAGACAGCGTCAGCAGAGACGTCCGTCCGCAGTCCGTCCGCAGTCAGCGTTTGCTTCGCTTTTCACACCCTGTATTCACAATAAGAGTACTCGGGTATATTGTGTATTTATGGATGTTCGCAACGGACAAGCAGGAACCCTCACATTTCCCAAGAAGCAAACACATTATTTATATGCCTTGAGAGCTGTGCTATCCACATTTTGGAATCACATTGGATTTATGTACCTACACGTAAGTACATACGTTTGTACATATGTACATATATACATATGTATTTTATCTCCGTACTACATACCGAATATATTTTAAACTTAGCATTATTACAGACGGATGTTTTGGGAATAACTATTTTCCTAATATTACTTTGAGCTGTTCTTTCTCCATCATGCATAGTACAACGCAAGTACAGGGTATGGCGCTGAATAAATACCGCATCCAACCTTCTTACTTGTTGTCAAGTCTAAACCTGGAGTCGAGACGGGTTAGGTCTTGAGTGAACTGACTGACAGACAGCCGCCGCGTTGTGGCAACTAATCGAAATGCGTTGCAGCTGCCTTCGCAGCAGTCCAGCTCTGTGTCCGCGTTCGAGGCTCGTTCGAGTTTCGCAGTCAAAGTGGTTGTCCGACTTGTTGCACGACACACACAACACAGAGACACCGAGTACTGAGCCAGGCGAGAAGCTCAAGAGCTTATGGATATTTTTATTTGCGAGTGTTTGCCTACAACGCTCTCCAAAAAGTTGGCAGCACGAGACAGGAGGTAATACTCGTACAGAAGGGAGATTGGCTGTTGCGTTCCGACTGGACGCACAGCAAAAAGTCCATAGACGACAGAAGGCATGGACACAGGCAAACAACAACCAAAGAACACTCGGGAGAGGAACACTGCAGTTCCAATTGAATTGTGCCAGAGGGCAAGCGAATGGAAAGGATACTCAATGCAAAGAAGGTAGTCGGTAGCCAGCCATCCTGCTCGGGCTCGGGTTCGGGCCC